TTTTATTACGACGCTAGCTAGATAGCTAGGTCGAATTCAGTCGCTCTCTCTTGGATATTCAATACCAGGTGATGCCGGAGAAGAACCCTAACAAACGGAGCATGGACCGCGCGCGATCTTTCCTTCCTCTTCTTCTCCTATCCTCAACCCTTACTTGGGCATACATTTACACGAACTACAATACCACACATGGTGGGAGACCGGTCGGGAGTTTAGAGTTTATCCCGCGTCGGAGATACTTGATTGGGCAAAAACCCGCTAGGCGGCAAGTAGGTCGTCACCTGATCTCACCCCATAGTGGAGGAAGATCACCGCCACCTCCCAAGGAAAAAACTTGCACTGCACTTACGGGACTAATAACATTTTTTTGACTAATTGTCGCGCCCGGAATCATCAATCAACAATCAATTAAACATTATCTCACGACCTTCTCATCCACACACATTCTTAAACAAAGAAATAACTACAGACATGGCACGTGCTATGAGCGCCCTTCATAAGGAACGGTATTTTGAGTATTCCCGCTAAAACAATTAACAAATATAATTCCAGGTATCCTGACAGGGCGACAATTCTATGCTTTCCCATGAGCTTTCTAGATACGCCTCCGCTCCTAACTCCATCACCCATCGCCAGTCACGATATCAAAACACGCCATCCGCAACCTTCCCGTCATTTGCTCTATCCAGCCGTTTCATCACCCGCCATCGCCTCCTCATTCTTACTCCCGCTCTCATTCCGATCCAACTTGTCTATCCTCCCGAACCTCCTCGGGAACGGCCGCGGTTCCACCGCGGTTTTTGACGGGGCGGCGACAGCGGCGGGACATAAACCACGCGTGGCGCCGACGCGTGTCCCGGCGGACGACGCGAACACGTGCCGATTTATAGTCGCGCCGCCCGCCACCGGCGCGCTGGAGTCGCGTGGCGCCGACCCACCATGCACCGCGCGCCCGCCGTTTGTCTCCCGAGGCACCGCGTGACGCCGTCCGACCCGAGGTACCCAGGAGCTTTCAATTCGCCATTAAGTTGGAGAGGGAACTGAAAGAAGTAGGGATGGAAACGTTAATGTTGCCGGGTAGAGGCAATGCTCACCGGCACGGTACACTGAGCAATTGATGTGTTTACGGGATATATAAATAAGTGGAGATGAAGCATTTGTAATGATAATATTTGCTGCGAAAACCGTGGATGTATGAATCGCTGGCGTGAGCACGGTCATTTCCACCGTGCATTCTTGGCTATCTGAGATGATCCGCGTCTCGGTCAATTGTACTGACGTTTCGGCCATCTTGCTGTGGCCTTCTTCAGGGCTGTACTGCTACTTCAGAGCAGTATAGCTCTGAAGAAGGTCACAGCCAGATGCCGAAACGTCAGTACAATTGACCGAGACGCGGCTCATCCCGGATAGCCAACAATGCATTGACTCCGGCCGCGGAAGCCTACGAAACTCTTTCCACCGTGACCATCTACTTGTTTTCACCACCCCCACGCTTGTCGCATGTGTCAATTCATTATCATTGGCAACAAACTGCCTTCTTAGTTCACACAATAAGGTGAAAGAGTAGAGAGCACCATTATAATTGTCTTTGACAGTGAATACGGGAGCTGAAAGGCCATAGAGGCATCGGCAGAGCTTCCTGTGACATGGGCCCCTCGCGCCCGCCGTATGTCTCTGCCCCCGTGGCATCGCGTAAGCGCGCAAAACGCCATCTTCCATTAGACGCCCAGGACCTTTCAATTCACCATTAACACGAAGACGTAACTAAAGGGGTTCTATTGTTGCCGGGTGCAGCTGTAAGTAAAACTCGCCGTCATTTTGAATACTTGACGCTTTTATGGGAAACAAATACGCGAGGACGAAATATTAATAATGTTAATATTATCTGAAAAAAGTGGCTGTATAAAACGCTAGTAGCCTTTTCCCCCGGAAGCGCCTGTTCGAACCGAAACACGTTTCTCTCCACCCACGCTTGGCCCAAGTGTCAGCTCAACGTTGGCAGTGTGGCGTCAAATCAGTCGCCTTGTACAAACGTGATAAAATATTAGCCACGCGCATTTGATGCACATTAAATGCACGAGGAAACAATATGCAACAGCGGGCATCATTGGCGGGAAGGGGCGCCGGGCTGAACAATGGCAAAACTAGGAAGCGGAAGGGAAAGGGTGCCAGAGTGCCACTTGTAACCCCGTAGACCACTTGGGGTAAACTTGTGAACCCCGTAGACATGCTGGATGTGGAAACGCGTCGGAGGAAACTGCGAGATAACGCAGTTCCGTCAGCCGGCCCAGGAAGTAATATAAACGGACCCCGGACCTAAACTCCTGCTTTTCATACTTGGGCGCGTCGGTAGGAAGTCGTGTGGGTTGTGCGCGGCGCTGCATTTCAATGCAGAGGCTACTGAGGCAGGGAACTGAAGCCGGCGTGCTACGTCGAGACGGGAAGTGCGGCATACTCGCTTGTATGCTCACGTAGGCAACTGGTGCATCACACCGAATAAGATATCAAATTATCAGGCCAGCGATGCTGGTGACCAGGAACATTCCTTCTGGAAACGGGTCAATATTGTTTATTGTAATTATTGTACTATTCAGGTGTTACAGCATATTTCAAACAAATACTCAATAAATTACAAACCGTTCAGTGTTATTTATTGCCCCGTCAAAGACGCCACAGCAGTTTGCCATTTAGTTCATCCAAAAAGAAGCAAGAGTAGAGAGGACGACCGTATTGTTTTCAACAGTGTATCTGGAAACTTTAAGGCCCTAGAAGCTTCGTCGGAGCTTCCTGTAGTTGCGATCGCACAAGATGTTATGAAACGGAATGAAGCGAATCTGTTGTGAAAGGATGGGTAGTTACCAGTTTGTAACTGAATCTTCGTGAACCGGGAGATCCAAGCGTGATGTGCCAACTGTGACAGATTTCTTAATAGAGACAAGTAGCTGCAGCTGGGGCAAAACAAACAACTGGTTGAGAACCTGCAGCGCCAGTTGATCCGATCGGTCATGTCTGTGATTTCCTGTTGTCAATTCCATACAGATGCCTCAGCAGAATCCTAAAGGATGGCTCATGGAGTCCATGGTATCCTTCCGACAAAGGGGACAATCTTGGACCTCGCTTCTAACTCGGTATAGGATTAGAAACGACCTTTTGGTTTCTCAGTTTCTTGGCAGTACCTACGTCGTTAATACCAAACAAGGATTTATGAGACGGTAGTCAGGGGAACCAGACCTCTAGAAATTTAAGAGACAAAACAGAATTGTATTGATTTTGAACGTGAAGTCCTTACACATCTCAATCAAATGAGATAACAACATAATTGTATAAAAAGGTCTCAGAATTTAGTTTATTTTAAAGACACAATAATTTTATGATTTTCGACGTACGCGTACCTGTAAGTGTAAATGCTTATCGTAAGTAACTTTAAATGGAAGTATTATGCATGGGTGTAGTAGTAGAAGTAGTCTAGACATGAGCGCGGAAAAAGTAATTGCTGTGTTGAGTGGCTGTGCACTAAGCTTTCGCGTCAGCTCGCAAATAATGCCATGATATGAGTTAAAGGAAGAATAAATGTTTGCACCAGAATATTCTGGTATTTTTTAGCGTTGTGTTCTGTAGATGATCGGATGAATGGAACTGCCTGCTTTTGTATTGAAGCATCGTCTCTAAACAATTCGCATTGTCTCTAAACAATTCGAATCAACTGAGGTTCTGTTTACATATGTGTGTCAGAGATACCTAGATTTTCTAGTGATAATGAAAGAGGCTCCATTGAGAAGTGAGAACCAAGTACAAATAAGTACATATTAGTGGGCATTTCTTCTTTTTATTTACTCATTGTCAGAGTATATTGGATAACGTTTCCATTCCTGGGGAAATCCAATATAAAATTTACACCAATTTATATTATTTATATGAATATTATATATCAATATATTCACATCAATTTAAATTGCCATATTATAATTTAATATTTCACGAATTTAATTTAATTAAAAATTCTAAATTAGGGAAAAAATTAATACCCGTATCTCTAAAGTAAAACGACTATAAAAAAGCATGGCGCATTTTTTGCCCATAAGCAGTGGTTTACTAGTAATTTTGTAAGAATGCGAATCAAACACACACATAAATGACAGGGCAATCCGTAATAACTGAAACTGTTAATCTTCCAGAAAACATGTCAAAAATTTATTAACTTGGTGATAATTCGTAATTAAAATTCAAACTTACTATTATCAAGCAACGTGAGCATGACTGGTGACAGTATGATAATGGTTTTCCGGATTTATAGGCCATGGTGAAGCGAAATAAATGTTGGAAAAACATTTTCCATTCGACTACTTCCTAACACACCAGAAAACAGAAAATACGTAATTTTTCACATGAAGTTAATAGTTAAAGAGATATTGTAAAACTTATTGCTTAAAGTTGTAGGGAACGGTTTTGAAATTGACATTTCTCGATGGTGATGTAAATAAAGTCCATTAGTCAATCATATAAACTGAGGTATTTAATTCGAAACCTTTATACTTTACTTACTTATTGTTTACTTACTTCATTTGTGGTTTCCAAGAAGGGAATATAAAATTCAAATGAATTGGCAATTTAATGCATTAATTACGAAATAAGTAAATAGCTCGAAATATACACTTCGAGAGTCGAGATACTATATTTCTGCAAATTTTGAATGACTATTAAAATGTGTATTCTAAAACATATTCCCAATTCTTCGAATGCATTAAATGAAAAATACGACCGCAATCAACACTCAAACAAACACTCAAAAATAATTTAAAATAAAAATATATTTATCAACATTTTATAAAATATATTTATAATTGATTTACAGTCACATTTACATACACTACACAGTTATGATGATTATCACTATTGGGAAAAATATTCTCAAACGTTATTTGTAAAACTAAAGAATAGCATAGTATCAATTCTTATTAATCACACACGACCAACGCTAAACTTAGAGGAATGTAAACCATTCATTCCCAAAATCCCAGAAGGCCGTTTTTGGCGGAAGCCTGTAGCTCTCCCGGGTGACCCACACCGATACGCCATTCGTTCTCTGTGAAGTTAAACCAGAGATATGGCAGCAGTTTTACTTCATGTGGAAGTCTCTGAACACGCCCCGCAGGACAGAGCCATGTCTTGATTAATGAGAAGATATATGTGTTTCGTTGCTCTGCGCAGTGTGTGTAATCGGTAATAAAATGCTCTGCTACTCACGTAAACGTTCCACGTCAAAAGTCTTTTTCCACCAGAAAGTTTCGTTGGTGTTTTAAAGAACGTATGCATGATGTTTATCTGAAAACAGGGCAAAAAATGGGCATATTAGTTATAGTAATTTACATGTCGTGGTTCCGAAAGCTGCTAAAATAAAACGGGAAACCGACATTAGTATGCCGTGAATGCTTTGTACAATATTCTATTTATTTCACAAGTTATGGAAACATTTATTTCATTGTTTGTATTGCAGAGGATAGTAATTTCTGAATAATGTATATGATAAATAATTGAATTATACATCTGAACCGATTTAAACATTTATCGCTCCAGGTAATCATGAAAATTACCATCGAATCAGTGCCTTTGTCTAAAACAGTTTCTAGAGCTGCAAATACTGGCTCGGAAATAATTTTAAAAAATATCGGAAATATGTTCATTCTTTGACAATCGTTTTCCAACTGAAATTCAATTGCCATCCGTCATATTTAACCTATGTGCACAATGAAGTTGTATGCAACACCTATATAACAAAACCAAATTTATAAGTTTCCGTTTCGTTTTTGCTTTAAATAGCTCATAAGATTCTGATTTGTAGAGCATTAGCATAATTTCAAGTATCAAGAGAAAGGTTCATTGAAATTTTGATTCGCGAATCTTTCTATTCTCCGAATAGCTGGAGGATCCAAAGAGCCCTGAGCCGCATACTGTTTTTAAATAGGATAATAATAATAATAATAATAATAATAATAATAATAATAATAATAATAATTATCATTATTATTATTATTATTATTATTTATGTCATAATATGTAAACTAATTCAATTTCTATAATATAAATCCCCAAATCAAAGTGAATGGTATATCAAAAATTAGGATAGTCACTTAAGTACTAAAATATTTTTTAAATCAGCACTGGTGTTCATATATACCTTATTTCTCGTTTCTTTTTGCAAAACGAAAAATGTATTTTAATATTTAAATTTGAATTGTTAACCGGTTTACTTTATCAAATACCCTAGGAAGCACACACAGAAACAAATATAAGAAATCATCGTCAACGAAATATCTATACAATAAGATTACCCCAAAACGTAAGAACTGTTCTGACACATCAACATAACAATCATACTGCATGTGAATGCGAATTCTGTACTAGTCAGCGACCGGTTCGTGTATTTTAACACGAGAAGGGTTAACTCCAAGAGGGCGGTGATCAATGTATTTTCCGAAGAGTGGGCATGCAGAGCTGTTATCTCAAAGGAACTACAGACATTTCGAGAAGCGAGGTGAATACTCGGAATTCTATCTCCCATAATAACACTTCTCAGCAACATTGTAGTCTCCAAGGAGTACAGAATACGCCAGATGCCTCTGATATAGAGAGGTGCGGTGCTTTCCCAGTAGGACAAAGTACTGATACTGCTGTAGGGAGAACATTCACGACCGCCAATATATAGCTGCTCACCAGATGTGAGCTAACATTGCGTTTACGAACCGTTGGGAAAGGCAGACCTTTCACCTCCACTATGCGTTTGAATACCCAAGCAAGAAATTAAATGCTTTTCATTGATTGATTATTTCGTGTTTAAGGTAGCATGTTCGTTAGATCGACCGCGGTGAAGTACCCCAAAAAGGACTTTAAATGAAAGCAAAATATATCTTGAAGATGGTAAGAGCAAAAATTCCTCTTATCAGACTTTTTTTTAATAAAGGAAGTTTAAATAAGTACAGGCTCTCTACAAAACTATCGCGACAATAGGAGTTTTTAAGTTATTGGAGTTATACGGTGAAAGTGTTTTTTTTCTTTTATTCAATACGTGGAAAATTGTTTTCGAAATCAGATGGTATTATATGTAACATACCTAACCGGGCGTTCTGAGGAGTAATTTATATGCGAAGGACATCCAGAATACAAGGGCTATGTAGAACACTGGCGTATATTTTTTCAATGTTGGCACCCATTGCATATAGTGAGTTTCTTAACGGTCATAATGAGACATGGAGCGCCTCAGTTCGTTACTAAATGTCGTCGCTTATCACGTCATCCAGTTCGTCGCCCGTTTGCTCCACGTTCCGAGAATATGAGATTTGACGTCATTCGTTTACTCACGTGGCGCAATGAATGAGCAGCTAGTATCCATCGCCAGCTACTGGACACCTACGGATCCAAGATTATGAATCGTCTGAATGGTACCAAATGGGTAATATTGGTACAGTGGCGCCATTCCTCTTCGCCAACACAAAACAATTCAACATTCACAGAGAATAATCATGGCATACGCCTATTGGTACCGGAACGGGATCTTGTTAGTCGATTTCATGTCCAAAGGGACCACCATTAATGCTGCTGCATATTGTGAGATCCTATATAAATTGAAACAAAAAATAAAAGACAAAAGAAGATAGATGCTGACTCGTGGGATGCTGACAATGCCAGACCCCATACCGCCCGTCTTACTCAGGACCTGCTCGCGTAGTGCGTATGGGGCATTGTGATTCACCCACCCTACTCTCCGGACCCTCGGGTTACCATCTTTTCCCCAAAAAGAAGACGTTTATAGGCGGAGAGCTGTTTTCTAATGATGAGGAGGACATGGTGACTGCGAAAAAGTGGCTTAAAGTAACTTGACATCAACGGAGATCAACGGAGATTTTGTGGAGAAATGATATCATATTTGGACACTTATCCTGTAAATTTCATTAAAACATATTCATTTTTCTATTTTCAAGTGTTGCATACATACTTTGTGGATGTCCGTCGTTTATAAAAACTGCATAATTCATCACAACCGGAATTATTTGCTTTCAGCCTACGAGTTTTGCTGTAGAAACCATGCTATTCTCAGCACTGTTTCTCTTCTAGCACGAGATAAAAACCCTAACTAAAAATTTTGTACCACACACAACCGCAAAAACATTTGCTGTTGTGATTAGCAGGTATCTCCCAGGCAGCGGGACAACCGCCTCAGCCGGGAAAGATCTAAGCTCCTGACTGGTCTCCCGACATGTATGGTTGTATAGTGCATGTAATGTTTTGAGTAGATAAAGGGTTTAGGAAGAGGGTGGAAAAATCGCGCGCGGGCCTTTGGGCGTTTGTTAGATTACTACTCCGTCATTCGCCTGGTGTTGATTGGAGAAACAACAGAAAACAACCGATCATAGCTGGCGTTTAGAATTCTCTTCCAGACAGTAGCTATATTCGCCTTAGCTATCTGGCTAGTGTCGAATACTGTGCCAACGTCAGGTCCTCCCGAACAGAGGCACTGCAGTGACATCAACTGATTCCCTGAGAGTGGCCCTGACCCACCTCATCTCTGCGATTTACACTTTGAGATTTACACAATGTGACCCAGCGAATGCAGATGAGGTCTGTTAAAGAATTCTTGAATAAGTGGTGAACTGAGCTCAAAAATTAAGTTTTAAAAACAAAATGTAAAAATATTGTAGATGTGAATGCTTCACGTAGATAACTGGATTGTCTTTCGATTTACGAAGGAACAGTATTATGAAGAAACACGCCATCTGGTTCCAAACGATCACGTGACATTTGAAGATAATTTTCTCATAATGAATATTTGGAGTGGGTCTTTGAACTAACTTTTTAATAAATGTTTAAATATGTAACTAATGTCTAGGAATAATCATTTGGTATATCCAATATATTTACAAAAATACGTAGATATATTTTCTTTTTATTCATATTTTTAATGAATGCATACTATATCAATAAATAATAATACCAAATAAAACATTTTTGGATAAAAAATGGTATATAATTCACTGAATATATCATTATCTTAAGTATAGAACTTGAACCATAGCTACACAGTTTTCAATTAAGATAAACGAAAAACAATGACTTAAAATAGTTCGATTAATAAAAAAAGGAGATTTAAATTTTTATTTCAACCTGTCAAATTCTTACAATTCTACAGCTACCGCGGTAGGGAGAAAGTTATGTCATGTTGCGAGCGAGGTGGAAATAACCATCATGGTTGCGCGAAAAAACGGCGAATTTCTCTTCGGCGAAAAATCTCTTCTTGCAGGGCCGTTGGATACATCTAGTCGCGGCATTTAAGGGGGGATACTCTAATACGTGATGTAGCCAGAATCCATGATTAGTAGGTCTTTGATACCGAAAAATAGATTGACGGCAAAACGTCACTCCGTCCGTCCGTCTGTCTGTGAACAACGCTGGCAGCTGAAGCGTTCAGCCGATTTTCTACAAAATTGATATTTCCCAATCGATCTGGCTGATATCATGCCCCATTCAGTTTAAAACCGACATTTCAATTTTGGGGGTACTTCACATGAAGCTCCTGAGACCTTTTCAAAATTAAAAAAAGAATGGCGCCATCGATTTTGATTAAATTTTGTTGTTGGATAGTCTGAAGAATGTTTAAGAGAATGGCATAGGCAACACTGATTAAAAAACCCGATTTGTTTAAAAATTGCAAAACTTCAAAATATTTTCGGGGACTTCCTACCACTAAAATATTAAATATTAATATTTTTCCCTTAATAAAATATGTTCCTTAAAGGTAAGTTTGAAAGAAGGTAACGTACAATCATTTGAAAATATGAGTATTTTTTGCATAATTTTGCGAAATGTAAGTAATTTTTTTAAATATAGGTAATTTTTAAATTTTGTTTAAACTTTTTTTCAAAAAAGTCTTCAACGTTTTTGATAAAATTTGGTTTTTGAATAATCAGAAGGTCGTTTAAGAAGATGGTGTAGGTCTCATGTTGGTTGAAAATTCTGATTTTTTTAATTGAAAAAGAAAAACATAATTTTTTCGGCGCCTTCCTAGAATTACAATTATACAGATGCATTTTTTTCTTAACAAAATGTTTTTATCAAAAACAGATCATTAAATAAGGTCATGTTGTATTTTTTTCAAAATATGAGTATTAGAGTTTGTATATTTTTTCATATTTCTTTGTTCGTCTCTTACATTCGACTTTTTGTTATACATTTACACAATAATAATTTAGAAATTATTTAAAACCTTCTTGTAATACCGCTAGCTTTCAAGGAACATCAGATTGTACTGCTATAATGACTCTACAACAATGACTCAGGAGTTAATTTTTGTGAATTAAGTCTTATTGTTGGGACATGATTTGCCTGAATGAAAAGTGTATATCATTGTCAAATTTGTGTTGATACTTGAAAATAATTAGTTTTTGCACCAAAGGTATACGATTTCTAATGAGCAAGGTTGGGCAGTATTTAAATACTTGTATTCGAAATACGAATTTTAAATACATTGACATATTCATCCACCCCGGTTTAATGACTGTTTTCCTTAGCAGTTTTTATACATTCGCCCACTAATGGTTTATTGTCTAATGGTTTGATTGAAAGTCGTTGCAAAAGGAAATTCCATTTCTTTATATAAGACATATATTTGATATCATTTTATCAAGCCATAGTTAGCCCGAAGCCAGATTTCACGCGTTTGTTAGAGAATCAGGACGGAAACGCACAAGTCGGCAAAACCGTGCGCGTAGCGCACTTCATACAAATCGAGTGATAAGTTTTTTAATAAGAGTTTTTACAATTCCCACGGTATACTGGGAGCAATGGAAATATCCTAACTCCTAGAAAATCTAACCTTTAATATTAGATGAAATTTGATGGATATAATGAAAATATAATTTTTTATGGATAGAAATTAGAATGTAGAATAAATTTTAAATTTTTGAAACTTTAAAAAGACAGGGTTTTTAGAGGAAATGAGACCTGCACCGTTCGCATATATGTCCTTCACACTATCAAGCAACAAAATTTAATAAAAACGTTGAAGCAATTTTTTGGTTTCAAAATGTTTCTGAGGTTTAATGTAAAGGAAAAGGAATAGCTAAAATTTGCAATCATTCATTCATTTTTGTAATTTATAAAAAAACAATTGTACTGCATAACTAGAATAAAAAGGATCATATAGCTATTAATAAAGGTGATAAAGTACGTGCTGTTTTATCACCACTATTTTGATTATGTTTTCGTTTCGTGGGTCAATGAAGTTAGACTGTTAAATACGTATATGCGAAACATGATCAATCTTAGGATGTCCTGGTTAAATCCTTCATTCGCTAAACGGTGGGGATGAAAGATCGTTTCGACATTCATTCGGCTTATGGTGGTGTCAGCAACAGGGTGTTATATATGCAAGTTTGTATTCCGGAATGCCAACCCCACTATTTTACTAATATTAGTTGAATTAATAAAAAAATATATAGCAACGAGCATTGTCGACAAAATTTTATCAAGAAATGTTCGCTCCCGTGAAATAGAAACTATTCTCAATTGATAAACGAACTACAGCTTTACTATAATTTTTTAGTTGTCGAATTAATATACTCCTCTTGCATATTACAAAATGACGGTTCAAGAAAACGTTACAACTTACAACTTATATTTTATTCATCTTCTTCAATGTTTTTGTGGTAACAAGAGATTTTAAGCGGCATTTTATCTAGTTTTCTCATAACTACAAATGCATAATATTGAAATACATAACGAACTGAATAGTTAAGATCGGAAGGGTAGAAAACTTCAAAATGAAGCAAAAAGTAATTGGATAAGACATCTAAAAGGAAATAGAAAAAAAAGGCGAAGGCATTAGATACGAGCGGGATCATTTCAGGCTCCGAGAGTGTAGTAGTGCATAAATAAGCAAGAAGATGATTTTTCCGTCGGCGAGAACATAAACGAGATATTAATGCGCGGCGAACGCGCGTGCTGTATTTTAGCTCCTCCGTCCACACAGCTTCTATTTGCAGACGATTCCATATTTTTAGAAGTGTTCCACCGTATTTTCACAGACTAAATTTCTATTTACTCATAAAGTACAGAAATTAAAATGCTGATAATCAAACACGAAAATTCAGTCACGCCATTTTTATAAAACCAAGTTCATCGGTTTGCCCGGCAGTTTGCGTGAAATGAAACGACACGTCATTGACATGGTTATTTCATGCAACTTTTGATGTTAAATTCTTTAATGGAATCATAATTAAACGCGAATGGAATGTTCATTTACTAAATCTGAATACATACAATAGTTTACCATGCATTAAAGTTAAAAGCAACATCATAAGCAACAAATAATGTAAACGCATTCCAATGACATTAATTACGTGCATTGTGGGTTTGAACACGTCCAATGAAAAGAGGTGTTTTCTGGCTAGGAAAGTATTGGTAAAGCTCCAAATATAATTGCGCGCATTAACACAGGAATATATTGACATTCATTTTTAATCTCACTTTCATTTAAAAGTGTGCTAAAATATGGTTATATTGTTCCTTGTTTATACAAGAAACTTTTGTATAAAACAAGGTCACTTTTTGATAGATAATAACGTTAAATGTTATTTTTCCTGGAATATAGTTTTGTAAACATGCGTAGACAAGATAATTAGTACAAAAATATCTATCAAAAGACTACTTTATTGAACAAAATGACACTCAATTATCCATTGTAATACATATTTTTTTGAATGTGTTTGAAGTTGAAGTAATTACTAGTGAATAAATTAATAAAAATGCAATAAATTTTAAAACCAATATTCTAATTACTTTTTTCTCATCTATTAAATTATTTTATATTTATGTAAATAACATAAATAGCATTCTGCTTGTGAGAAGATGTATGTTTTGAAACAAATCGTAAAATCTCTTGGGGTTAGGGAAAATTGAAAGAAATGGGACAAATCTATACCTGTTTATATATAATTTCAATTTTGGATTAAAATCTTCGGAACAACGTACTGTAATTTTCAGCTTAGGGTGCCTTTCGTAATTCCGTAATCAACTATTATATACGTGCTGAGTTCTGGGTGCAGAAATAGAATATTATCATGAGAATGTCCCAACCATTGAATTCTGACAATGCATCATTCTAAAACTGATGATCAATATGAAATGGTTGCCTTTGGGACAAAACCAAATCCGGGATGCAATTTAGTCACGAGTTAAATATACATTTCATGAAGTTTCAGATCATCTCGTGCCAATTACATCTTGTGCTTTAATCGAGATCATTATCACAGAAACATACTGTTGCTTTCAACACGCTTTTTTAAATATAACTTTCCATTTGCAATCAGAAACATAAAAGCCTATCTTAAAAGAATTTTACAAATAGAATTTCTAGCACAATAGTGTCCTTGCTCAAACGTTGTGTATCCACAGAAATAGAGTTCACTATATGGAGAAGCAGCTAAATTGGTTTGGGTACGGCATTATTCGCATTCCAGGGGTTTGTCAGTAACACTATTCAAAAAAGTGTTTTCTAGTTGAAGAACAGTTCGAAATGTAAAGAGCGTCAAAGGATTGTTAAATCCTCTGAGAATACTCCTGAGTTCTTTCTCCGTCTATATTATCTTTGAGGGAGACAGTATTACAATATAACAGTCTCTGGAAAATAAACAAATTTGATTTAGACATCTCGAAAGAAACCGCCCCTAAACAAATGTTTCAGTATTCATAGATTTTTTTAATAGTATTTTTATTATTCCGTATACTGGTGTTTAGACTCGCCGTTTTGTCGTTTTCAAATAAAGATAACATGTCAAGTATATATATGATTTTTTCTTTGTTTTGCAGTGTAATGGTACAAAATGGTACAAACCTATGTATTGGCACATTGTAAAGAAATGATACATATTTCCATGATCTGTAGTTTCGTAGTACAATATTTTTATTAAGTTTGATAGACTTTTAAAATTCTTGTTAGCATCAGCATTCGTTTCTGCTTCATTTGTGTATTCATAGATAGGCGACGAAAATAAGTTGATCATGCAATTTATCTCTATCCAATATTCACTGTACGTCAAGAGAGAGACTGGAATTTGGAGAAAGTCTACTTTTGGTCAACGTTTAATACTTCTGGTCACCGTGTCATTTCCTCCACTTCGTATTAGGCTTTATTAAGGAAGAGAAGACGTATGTAGTAGAAGCGTTGGTCGTTTACACAACATACAACTAACACTACACTTTATCATAAGTACACATCCTGCACAAGTACTTGACTGCTCCTTAGGAATTTAAATCATCCCACTGTAATTGTAATAAATATAGGATGCGAAAAAAGAAGAAAGGGCAATTAAATTGAGAAAAGGCAATTTGATGCAAATGCAGCAAGACGAGTGAAGAAGATTGTCAAGTATTAAAAAATGTTCCGAACACAACTACAAAAGATACAAGAAGGGAGAAGATATTGAAAGGACTGACAGATGACCGAACCCAGCATGATTCATGACTCAAAATCAAAAGGAAAATTACACTTCAAGTACGTTGTGATCAAGCGTACAAATCAACTCTAATGGTGCTCTAGAACTCTCCAAACGTTCAGCTCACCTCACTAACCTCCAATTTACTCAGAGATTCAGCGGTTAACTCAATACGCATGTATCTTCATACTTTCCCTCTGCCCCCGCCTCGCCACTGCC